ACAGGAGTACTTCAGTTGTTAGGCACAGGTGTATGAGCAGTAGATGTGCTGTTTTTAATCTCATGAGCTTTTCTGTTCCATTCAAAGTGTCAATTTTTCCAGACACTGTGTGTCAGATAACTAATTACACTGAAAATATACTGAGAAGCATAAGTGCCCAGCTGTCATTATTCAGAACGAGGATCTAATTATTTCAGAAAAGACGCAGTACCTTGAATGTTTATTTAGTTGATGTGTTTGGATTTAGAGCATTTGGAAATTCTAATTACTCCTATTGTTCTCAGTATTCCTGAAAGGCAAACATTTTGTGTTTTATTTCCATTAACCATTTCCAGTGCTTCAATATTCATAGGTCTGTACCCTCCCAGCCAACAACTCTATGCTTTGCCATTATTAAACATGTGAGTGTGATGCACAAAGAATACTTATGAGTTATATTTTCTAAAGATAATCATAGACTTAGAATAAGTTTACAATGTACCTGCTTCCAGTGTAAGATACAACTGTAAAACAAAGCACAATCTCATGTTAAAGAGACAGAGAAAAGAGTGACAATTAGGCAGGGATAAAAAAAAGGCAAAAAGAAAAGAGTGAAGAGGGCTGTAGAAAACAGAAAATGGAAGCAATCATTGCGTTGTTGCCGATTATAGACTCTGTTACTGAAATGTTTGCCAAGACATGAGTGTGCATAAAAAATAGATAAGGCATCTGGAACTGTTATTTAATCCTCTACTCTTTACAGTTTGAGAGAGAAAAAAGGCTGCTGCTTGTCTCAGTTGAGTAGTAGTATTGCTTGACTGCTTCTACAAACCACTATTATCAAGTATACGTGTGCGTTGTTGGAAAGGTGGGGGAGATGTGTGCTGTAAGTTCACAATTTGATTGATAGCTCTGAGAGGTTATAAAGCCATTAGCTGCCTTTAATGTGGGACTATGAATACAAATCTTTGGTTTCATAAGTGATTAAGATCTTTTAAGAGATATAAATGCATTTATTCGGTTTTTATTAAGTTAATGCATTTTAAAAATACAGTGAAGTCTGTATTAGATATTTAGAACTATGTTTTATTTCATCTAATTGTGGCTTCTGGGGTTAGCTCATAATGGGTACTGAGTGAATCACATGGAAAGTGTGAGGGTAAAGGGGACTGGGCTCAAATGGCTCTACAGCTTTTGCTATAACTGGGACCAAGTCCTGCAGCACCCAAACAGGCCTGTTAAACAGCCACCTTGGCACTCAACAGCCCTTATAGCTACCTTCACACAGTTTGCAGGGTGGCAGGCCTGATTCCAGTTAGCACCCATACCTGGAACAAAAATCTGGCCAGTGGGGAAGTTTCTCTCAAGTTGGGGTAAAAAGATATTTCCATCTGAATATTTACTCCCAAGTCAGGTGCACAGAATCAAAGAATTTCCAAAGTCAGGAGTGAAAGTTTGGGTTTCTGTATTGTTGGCAAAGGTCATTAAGAGGTTTGGAGACCTAGTCAATGAAAGTAGGTGATGGTTAAATGCTATGTGATAAAATCTGAGAAGCACAAATTTAGAAATGCTGCAATAAACACTTTGGTCAAATGGCTTGGCAGTTTCATCAATTACATGATTTCTTTCTTGCAGTGTTCGCTTCACATAGGAAAATCACCAATGGAATAAAGAGAGAAAAGGATTGAAATATATATTGTATATGGATTAGGAACACTGCGATTTGTCAATTACTTCTTGTTGATAAAATAAATAAGGGTGCTCTGTCTGTATTGATATTTTGTTACCTCTTTTAAAAATAATATTTCTCCTTGTCTTCATGACCAAGTACTCCAGCTTCCAAGATTCTGTTAGTGTAACTCTATAGCTACAATAACCACAGGTCCTTCATAGAAAAGTATCCTTTGAATGTAACTTTCATTCAACATGAGCCCCAGTGACAAATTAGGAAGTCACCCTAAGGGTGGTAACCTGTACCAAGTCACTCTGTAGGTCAAGTGCAACTATTTATAATAAATTCCATTATCAAGCAGAATGTCCCCAGATGTGTATTGTCAGACCTGTGCAGAAACAGAGGGAAATTAAGGAGGTGGCCAGAGGTTGTTTCGGTTAGATCGACTTTTGAATGCAGGGAAAAATATAGCAATGTGTTATGATTTAGAGGAGCATTGCATATTGGGAGTAGGAGATATTGCGCTCAAAGAGGCAAAAAATGATGAAGGCTCTGTCATTATTTGTAAAGTAGAAGGAAACCAAACAAGTAGCAGCCACAGAGGCTGACAGACCTGGGGGATCTTTCAGGTTAGTCAAAGGGGATGAAGGGATTTATACATAAGCATGAGGATTTTGAACAAGATGTGCTGAGGATCAGGGAGTCAGTAGAAATTGGCAAATGGAGATGATGAGGTGAAATACCTCTTATGCAAGACTGATTACAGTTTATGAAGTTTTGGGTGAGTTGAAGTTTAAATAGAATGTTGTTGTTTGTAAAGAGGGTGTTGGAAAATGGATTCTAGGATTGACAAGAACATCTTTTGCCAGTTTGTCTCCGTTTCAGTGGCTTTTGGGTGAGTTACGGTCAGAAGCTGAACATAGTCTTTTAGTATGAGTGCAATGAAAGGATTATTTTATCTGCCAGTCAAAAGCAAAACACTGCAGGTGCAGGAAGTATGAAATAAAAATATAATGTGCTAGAAATACTCATGCTGTCATATGCTATCTGTGGAGAAAGGTAATAGAAGGACTGTCTATTGCCCTAAAAACTTGACTTGACTTTTCTGTCTACACAGCTGCATCATAACCTGCGGTATATTTCCAGCATTTTCTGTTTTATGTGCAAGTCAGTTTAGCTGCATTGCAACTACCAAAGAGGAAACCAGAAATAAAAAGAAGCAGAGCAAATTATTCCATGTTTAAGCTGGACAGTTACAAGCTTTATCCCATATAAAAAATGAATTATAGGAGTTTCGAAAAAATGTATTTAAAGCAGTTTTAAGTGTTTTAAATGGCTGGAGAAGAAAGGAAATTAGTGCAAGAAAGAAACAATAATTTAGCCGCATCATTGGAGCAGATGGTAGAGAGGCAATCATTGGAATGAAAGATAACAGAAAATGTAGGAGAGGGAAGCAGAAGAGAATGTGGATGATGGATATAAGAGACTGGATGCAGATGACTGATGTGGAATATGTAAAGGCAGCACAGTACAGACACAGGTGGAGATGCAACAAAGCAAGAATCCGTAATCTTCAGCCAGAAGTGCCGAGTGCATGATCCATCTCGGCCTCCTCCAGTGATCCCCAGCATCACAATTATCAGTCTTCAGCTAATTCAATACACCTCATGTAATATCAAGAAATTGTTGGAGGCCTGGATACTGCAAAGGCTATGGGCCTGACAACATTCTGCAATAGTACTGAAGACTTGTGCTTCAGGCTTGCTGTTCCTCTAGCCAAGCTGTTCCAGTACAGTCTAAAACACTGGTATTTATCAGATTGTATGGAAAATTGTCCAGGTATGACCTGAACACAAAAAGCAGGACAAATCCAATCCAGACAATTGCTGCCCCATCAGTGTACTATCAGTCATCAATAAAGGGATGGAAGGTGTCATCTACAGTGCTCAGCAATAACTTGCTCACTGATGCTCAGTTTGGGTTCTGCCAGGGCCAATCCACTCCTGACCTCATTACAGCTTTGGTTCAAACATAGATGAAAAAGCTGAATTCCAGACATGAGGTGAGAGTGAAAGCCCTTGACATAAAAGGCCACATTCAACCGAATGTGGTATCAAGGAACCCTAGAAAAACTGGAATCTATGGGTCTCAGGGGCAAACTCTCCACTGGTTAGAATCATACCTGGAACATAGGAAAATGATTGTGATTCTTCGAGATCAGTCATCTCAGCCCCAGTACATTTCTGCAGTCGTTCCTCAGGATGACAACCACCTTCATCAATGACCTTGCTTGCATAATAAGATCAGAACTGGGAGTTTTGTCCGATGGTTGCACAATGTTCAGCACCATTTGTGACTCCTCACAAACTGAAGCAGTCCATGTTCAAATGCAACAAGATCTGGACAATATCCAGGCTTGGGCTGATAAGTGTAAGTAACATTTATGCCACACAAATGCTAAGAAATTACCATCTCCAATCAGAGAAATCCAGCCATTGCCTCTTGACATTCAGTGGTCTATTGTCAACATCCTGGGGGTTACCATTGGCTAGAAAGTCAGCTGGATTCAGTGCATAAACACAGTGGCTATAAGAGCAGGTCAGGGGCTAGGAATACTGTGGCATGTAGCTCACCTTCTGACTCCCCAAAGCCTGACCATCATCTATAACGCACAAATAAGGACTGTAATGGAAAACTCCCCAGTTGCCTGGATGGGTGCAGCTTCAAAAATACTCAAGCTTGATACCATCTAGGACAAAGCAGCCCACCTGACTGGCACCACATCCACTCCCTCTGCCACCAATGCTCAGCAGCAGCAGCGTGTACTATCTACAAGATGCACTGCAGAAATTTACCAAAACTCATTAGACAGTACCATCCAAACCCACAACCACTTCCATCCAGAAGGACAAGACCAATAGATACATAGGACTACCACCACCTTCAAGTTCCCTTCCAAGCCATTCACCATCCTGGTTTGAAAATATATGGCCATTCCCTCATCAAAATACTGGAATTCTCGCCCTAAGGGCATTTTGAGTCAACCTACAGCATGTGGACTGCAGCAATTCAAGAAGGTAGCTCATCACCATCTTCTCAAGAGCAACTAGGATGGGCAATAAATGCTGGCCGATCAGCAATGCCCAGATCCCACAGGTAAATAAAAAAAGGCAGCATGACTTATTGAAAGAAGCTGATATGAATGAATGAGTGATCAAATGAACTTTAAATGCTTTTAAGACATTTAACAGCCAAAACTAATCTCCAATCATTTGGGATTTTTATGTGGTAATGAGTTTCTGCTCTCTTAGTATTTTTTCATTGAATGTGTTTCCTTGTTTTTTTACAGCAACTTAGCATAACTGAAAAACCATGGGCAATTTCAAAGGACATGCACTTCCTGGAAGTTTTTTCCTCCTATTTGGCTTGTGGTGGTCAGTGAAATATCCTATGAGGTACCTCTGCAGAAAGAATAAGAACGTTTGTTACTTGGTATCAGTCTCAGGGCATCGACGATTAGACATCATTGAAGGAATTGTGAAAGCCAGCTTTGCACTAATAGGTGAGTCAAAAATATCTACTTGTGCTGGTTCCACAGTTATCCATTCTAACCAAGCCTAAGACCTAATGTGGGATGCCTTTCTCCTTTGTTTTGAACACTGATGTAAGAAACAATTCCTCACATTAATCTGTGGAATTTATTATCCCAGCATGTGGTAGATACTTGGACTTTGTGTGCCTTTAAGGAGGAGAGAGACAGACAGATTTTTAATCAATAATGGCTCGAAGGGTTATGGAGAGCAGGAAGGAAAGTGGAGTTGAGGCCAAGATGAGACCAGCATGATCATATCAAATAGCAGAGAAAGCCCAACGTGTTGAACTGCCTGCTCATTCTGTTAGTTATTCTGTTCTTATTTAGAGGAGTACCACCAGTTCTCAAGTTGATATTGACATTAATATACATTAATCACATGGCTTTTAACAACCTTTTTAGGAGTATGCTTTAAAATGAGGATGCATGCACAACCAAAGCAGGAAAATAAAATGATAAATGACCATGAAAGGTGTCTAACAACTTTGCGTGGAATTAGAGAGATTCTCGTGTATAGTAATG